ACTTCTCCTGGAGATTTCAGGTTCATGACGTGATACATAACTTCATCTGCCAGACATAAACGTATCGTCGCTGCCGCTCGTTGTTGCAATTCTTCACAATCTTCATCCTCCATGGCATCTGGTTCCATTGCCCACAAAGCCTTTAAGCAGATCGTTTACCCTGGTTTGCCACAATCCGAAGTTATCAGTTCCGTCGAACTTCACCACCTCAAATTTCGCACCAGAAAATGTCATCTGAAAATTATTCCTGCAACAAAACTTTCTGCAAAAAATTCCTCTGCAAAAATCCTTGCTAACTTTTTTTTTTTAAAGGAAAGAAAAAAAAAATTTAAAAAAATTCTTTCAAAATTTTCCAACAAAGCAAAAAAAATTCTTCTCCACCTCCAAGAAAATAAATAAATATTTCTTTTATTTTCTTTCCTTATCGAGCAAAGAAAATCTTTAATTAAATTTACTTAATTTGATTTCAAGCAAATTAATTAAAAACCTTTCTTTTTTGCGCCTTCCAGCAAACAAAATCGGAGGGGGAAAAATCTTCTAGATTTCTTCACGTTTCCAGTTTAGGAAAATAATATTTCTGTGTCTTTTCTTTCCAAGGAATCAATTCCTTACTTTCCAAGGAATTAATTATTCCTTCCAGCAAAGAAAAAATTGCAGACTTTCCTTTTCCTCCAGCCAAATTCTCCAGCACCTCCGCGCAGAGAAGGAAAGGACCGAACTCCTTTCCGCAAAGGGCTCCTCAGCTGGAAATCTTCTCTGCAAATGTGCCGAAACCTACGCAGTTCTCTCCCAGCGTTCCTTTGCGTCCCGCGAACAGTGCTGCTCCTCGCGTGCCTCTATCCTTCCGCTCTCCTGGTCCGAACTGCCTCCCGCAATTCCTTCGCGATTCTTTCTCCCGAGCCGCGATCGAGAGTCCTGCCGCCAACTCCCTCTCCTTCGACAGAGATCGCGGTGTCTGAGAACCTTGGTTCTGATTCTCAAAATCTCGCCGCCGAACTTCTTCTTGCGCCGATGAGAATTTTCTTCCCCTCGAACCTTGTCTCTGATACCACTTTCTGTTAGGGCGAAGAAAAACAGTAATCGACACAAATCCAGAAGAACACAGAGATTTAACGAGGTTCGACAAAGATGCCTACGTCCTCAGGGAGCAGAGCAGCGAGTTCCTTTCAATAATCAGAAAAGAGGTTTACAGAAATCAGAGATATCTCCTGGGGTTACTAACAGGACTATTTATAACCCCAGGAGTAAACCTAGGCACAATATGTAATTACAACATTACCCCTGTACCAAACCGCGGGGCTTTGCCCCCGCACCCCAACCCACGTAACTTTCCATTTTGGACAGATTCTTCCGCTCCGCTTATATCCAACGTCTATCCCGATATGGTATATGAGCCATACCATAACAATATATCAAAAGAGAAATTAATTTTTCTAGTAATTATTAAATTAAAGGTCCCAAAACTTAATAATTTAATTATGAAAAATTTTATTTCTATATTCATATATATTATACTCATATATATATGCCATTTAAATAAATGTTCTGGATCAAATAGATAACTATGGTATTTTAATGGAATTTATTAAATATTACATACATGCAGCTAAAAATTAAAATAAAATTTCTATTTTATTTTTTTATTACTCAATAATAAATAAGCACAATAATTTTATGACACAATCCTCAATAACAGCAAAGATTGGCCAATTTGAAAGTGGGATAAGTTTTGAGTAGTTAATTAATAAATATTAGAATTTAAATGTTCAGAATGTGAATTTCAAAATTTTAAATGACTCGAATGTAAAAATCCAAATTTGGTAAAGTTATTTGTATGAAAAAATATACTTCCGTACTTCCATATGACTATCCAGCGGCCACGTCACTCGCCGTGACGAGAAAGACGATATGACCGCCGGTGTTTGGTCGTCCGAACATGCGCTGTTTCTTTTTCTGACTCTACTATCCTCATCATTTTCTAGATCTATAAATTATTAAACTTACAGTTTTTCGGAATAATTACATGCACAACACAATAAATATTACTAATCATAAATCAAATACTAGGTGATTTTTTAAACTACAAAATTTATGAATTTACGTGTGCGTCATAAAAATAAAAAATATGAGTTGAGATTGTAAAATATAGATGAAAGAGAAAATTTGATTTATAAATAGCAGGATTATGACCGCCCTATATTTAATTGCCCCTTCTTTTGTTTTCTGTTGGCCCTCATTTCAGAGTGCGCTATTTATGTACGAAGAACACACACAGCTCTTCGTGCGTAATCCACTCCCAATAACCATGGAATAACCTCCGTGAAGATTATTGAGAGGTTATTGTATAGCTATTCTGACGTTACTTAAAGTCAGTACTCTCCGCAGTTAGACTTTCACATTTTCTCTGGTGTTAGGGTATTGACTCCAAATAACTCCGCAATAACCCTCCAATAACCTTCGTAGGAGGGAGAGGATTATGCACGGAGAGCTGCGTGGGTTCTCCGTAAGTAATTATTTTCCCTTCAGAGTGCTATTTACGTACGGAGGACGCACACAGCTCTCCGTGCGTAATCCCCTCCTAATAACCGCTCAATAACCTCTATGAAGATTATTGGGGGTTATTGCAAATTATTTCGGCGTTATTTAGAGTCAGTACTCTTTGCGGTTACACTTTCATATTTTTCTGGTGTTAGGGTATTGACTTCAAATAACGCTGAAACAACTCCGCAATAATCCCTCTAATAACCTTCGTAGAGGTTATTGAGGTGTTATTGGGAGGGGATTACACACAAAGAGTCGTGTGCGTTCTCCTTACGTAAATTTTTACTCTTTGGAGCGTTATTTACGTACGAAGAACGCATGCAACTCTCAATGCGTAATCTTCTCCAAATAACCGCTCAATAACCTCTGTGCAGATTAATGGAGGTTATTACGGAGTTATTTCATCGTTATTTGAAATCAGTACTCCTCGCAGTTACACTTTCAGATTTTCTTTGATGTTAGAGCATTGACTCTAGATAACACTGAAATAACTCCACAATAATCCCCCCAATAACCTTCATAGAGGTTATTGGGAGGAGATTACACACAGAGAGTTGTGTGCGTTCTTCGTGTGTAAATATTCAGAGCGCTATTTATGTATGGAGAACACACACAGCTCCCCGTTCGTAATCCCCTCCCAATAATCGCTGAATAACATTTGCGAAGGTTATTGGGGGGTTATCGTGGAGTCATTTCGGCGTTATTTGGAGTCAGCACATTCCACGATTACACTTTCACATTCCACGATTACAACGATTAACTCCAAATAATGTCGAAATAACATCACAATAACTCCCAATAGCCTTCGCAGAGGTTATTGAAGGGATATTGGGAGGGGATTACGCACAGAGAGCTACGTGCGTTCTACGTACGTAAATATTTACCCTTCGGAGCAGTATTTATGTACAGAGAAAGCAAGCAGTTCTCTGTGCGTAATCTCCTCCCAATAACCGCTCGATAACCTCTGTGAAGATTATTAAGGGTTATTGTGGAGTTATTTCGACATTATTTTGAGTCAGTACTCTCCGCGGTTACGCTTTCACATTCCGCGATTATACTTTTACATTTTCTCTGGAGTTAGGATATTGACTCTAAATAACGCCGAAATAACTCTGCAATAACCCCCGAATAACTTTCACAGAGGTAATTAGGAAGTGATCACGAAGAGTTGCGTGCGTTCTCCGTACGTAAATATTACGAGTGTCATTTAAGTACAGAGAACACACACTCTCCGTGCACAATCCCCTCACAATAACCGTTGAATAACCTCTGAGAAAATTATTAGGGGTTATTGTAGAGTCATTTCAACATTATTTAGTCAGTACTTTCCATAATTACACTTTTATATTCCATAATTACACTTTTACATTTTCTCTTGCGTTAGCCTAATAACACCAAAATAGTGTTAGTCAAATAATACCAAAATAACTTCGCAGTAAACCCAGTAACGCGAAAAAATATTACCTCAGGAGTACTGATACAGCAGTACTCCAATGAGAGGGTGCCACGTAGGCAATGATCCCACTGTGGTGCCTACGTGGCACCCCCTCATTGGAGTACTGATGTTTCAGTACTCCTGAGTAGTACTCCTGAGGTAATATTTTTTCGAGTAAAGCAAAGAGGTTATCTCCGTGCGGTCTCCGTGTCATCCCCGGTAAACCCAGTAACGCGAAGAGGTTATCTCCGTGCGGTCTCCGTGTCATCCCCGAGTATAAACCGCTTATCCCACAGATTTTGCTGCAGGCCTGCAATATCCTCGAATATCCACGTCGGAACATGGTGGAATAGGTACACGATCGTCTCGGTTTTGATCCTAGGGTTCTCCATTCCGTCCTGTGATCGTTTCGATTTTCGCCTTTCTCCATGAGCGAGTCGAGTAGTTGGCCGGATGCATCGGAAGTTGGGTATTCTTCCAATAATCAGATGCCGATTCTACTTTCGTCGAACAACAAGGGTGAGGGTTTCGATGAATTTAGCACTGTCGTGCAGGAATCCTATCCGCTACAGAGCACTGCGTCGGGCCCGGCTGGTGGGGAGAAATATTGTTCATTAGAGGCTGACAGTGTTGGAAGTGATGCCCAGCCTCTGCCGGCTCATGTAAATGACTCCTTACTGAATGCGATTGAGGAAGGAGTTAATTTTCCAGAAACTCCTCTGTTGAAGGCAGCTGAAATAATAGGCGATGCAGGGCACGAAGTTTCTGTATGTGAAGTTGCTCGAAAGGAAGGTTATGTGGAGTCATTAGGATGCGATCAAGAAGCCTGTGTTTCCGAGAGTTCTGCCACAAGAGATGCTACTTCAGAAGTTGCTGTTAATGGTTCCGTGGAGTCTCCGTCTGTAGTGTCCGCAAACTGTGGGGCGAAGAGGGTAGGTGGCGTTCTTGCTATGGCAATGAGGAAATATGCTGTACCCAAGTCTTCATGCTACCATGGAGTCACTAGGTGAGTTTATTATATGCTGTTTCGTCTTGTTTTTTGTGTTATTTTGAGGTTAATTGCTAGGAGATGTGTACATTTTTTTTCCTTTTCTGGTCATAATGCTCTAGGTTGAAATGGAGTGGGAAGTACGAAGCACACCTATGGGATAAAACCAGTCGAGTAGAAGGAAGTAGACGGAAGGGGAAGCATGGTACTTATGCATATCATGTTTCTATTTATCTTATCTACTGGAAGAATGCATTTGAACCATGATTTTGAGTGATTTTTGCTCCATGTTTGTTTGGGATCTCCCAATTGTGGTGCTATATATTAGATATTTTCCAATAATAAATAAAATTATGTTGAGTGTAAGTTTTATTTTATTTTACATTGAGATGCTGTTTAAATTGGGTAATACTTAAATGCGAAGTATATGAAAATGAAATTAAGAAACAATATTTGATTGAAACATAACGAAAAATGTCGATTTGAAATGTTAAAAGAAGTATTTTGTGATTTTCATTTGGCTACAAATTTTGACTTGCTTTTATACTATGATGCACAATCACTTTTGTTTGGTGCCCATGTTTGTGTCGGACATGAACACAACTTGCTCATGCTAGAGGCTGTGTTAGGATATTTAGGCTTCGACATGGTAGGGACACAGTGGGTACACTGGGGACACACTACGGGACACAGGAGAAGCATGGCATAAGATGTGAGCTATGGTTGAGCCAAAATAAAAAAAAGAAAACTTTTCCCTAACCTAACTGTTCTCACGTCGAGATGCAGAAGACAATGAGGATGGTATGATCTCGTTTGAAGCTTGTTTTGAAGGTATGAAGATGAGAAGCCCATTTCAAAACCAGACACCAAAACGATGAAGAAGGATTGGGATGAAAAAAAGTTGGACCGTGTTGTTCGAAAGTCGTTCGAAAGTCGCTTGAAGTTGTAATTGAAGACAAGATACGAGGTAAATGACGGGATATAAAGAAGTCTTGTGCGTCTAAGCAGCCGAGGATGTAGCTTGCATGTAAGTTGAAGAAATTCAACTATATTTTATAAAAATTATGCTTATTTGAATGCTTCTATTAGATATTTTACTTCACTATGATTTATAGATTTATCAGATACATTTAGGCTATTGTTGACTTTGCATTTATTTGAGCTCTTATTTCACAGTGACTTGTGTATTTAGAGATGCTCTTTCAAATGTATTTATAGTTTTATATTATTTTTTTTCTTGAATGTTTAACATTAGAATTTTTATTTTCTATTATTAGTTATTTTTATGTAAAAATGTAATTATTCGATATCCTAGTGGTAAATAGTAGAAAATTTTATAATTTATATTAATAAATCATTAAATATAAAAACATATTTGTGGCGTGTCTGGATCTGCTTTTTACGACTATTTTACCTTATTCATGTCGTGTCATGCTTGTTCTCTGTGTCTCTATGTTCGGGCTTCATAGCTTTAATATGATAATATTAAGAAATAACATCAATAGTTTCCATTCTTAAGGCTTACTTGTTGTAAGCTTGTATTGATTTTCCCTAATAGATTACTTTTAATGTCTCTAAATGTAAATGAAGAACTATTGATGTATATTTGAATTCACTCCTCGAATAAGGTACATTGGGTCTTTGTTCCTTATCATAGTAGAGAGGCAAGTACCTAACATATTATGCCTAGAATCCATTTCTTGATTAGAATAAAATTTTCTTTTTCTTCAATGATTGTAAGACAATTTTAGAAGAAAGTTCGTTCATGCTACAATAGAGTAGTTGATGCAGGATAACTCAAGGGTGAAGTTTCTAATGCAATACATAGTATGCTTTTATATAAAAATAAATTTGAGGATTTGTACACCACAAGTTATCAATTATACCAGCAACTTTATGAAATGAGTGATAATATAGTTTAATCTCAATTGATAATAAGCTGTTCTTAATATTTGATTATTTTAGCTGGAATTTGCAAACAAATAAAATTAGTTAAAAATTGATTTTTTTTCATAAAATTAGATTGTCCCATGGCCACAATTATGATCTCAAAATTTGCCAATAATAAATTATGTGAAGGAAATTGTCAAAAAATATAATATCAAAGTATAAAGTATTAAATCTCACTTAAAGAGTTGACTTTCTATGGAATTAGGCTGTTGTACTTGAACCACACTTGAAGTAATTTCATATTTGACTTTCACTTAGAAGATTAAAATTAGAAAGGGAAATTTTATTCTAGATGAAAATTACATGTTAGATACCTCAGGCTACAATTTATTGAATCTTCTTAGCTTATGTTAGTAGATTACTTTGAAATCTGATCAATCTTAATATAAAGTAAGATTAATCCCAATTTAATTTTGATTCCCCAAATCAACCGACCTATTATTAATTTAATTTGAAACTTTCAAATCAACAATCCTTAAAAGCTAACACTGATACATTTGTCCATGTGCACAAATCCACAAAAATAAATTGTCATAGTAATTCTTTACATACTCATAGAAAAAGTAGGCCAAATAACACCACTTAAAATTAATAAAGGTAGAAACTCTGCAATAGTTGCCCCAAGTCACACCACCTCCTTTTATAAGTTTTTGTTATTAATTCCAAATGTAATCATTTAAACCAAAAGTAGCCCCACATTTACATTACAATAGTTCCACATCGCTAGCTATGGGTGTATATCATAGGAATTTAAAGAAAATAATAAACAAATTTTTTTTTAAGATAAGATGTTCAAATTTTACAAGCAGGGAAATTGGTAATCTTAAGATATGTTTCAAAGATAGACAAATAAAGATCCTTTAGTCGTGTCAAACTTATATGTGATTTGTTGGTCATAAAAGGTTTTGGAGATTAACTTTAGTGTAAGGATTGCCATGGAATTTTTAGATGAGTTCAAAAATATAATGTGCGTATGTATTTTATTGTGAAGCAAGGAGATATAAATGGTTATAAAAAAACTATCTCATCAAGAGTAAATTATTGAGCCTTATAATGATTATAAAGAAGCTAGAAATTTTGCAAGGCGCATTGCAAGGCGCATTGCAAGTCAAAACAAAATTTATAATATTTGATGATTTGTGTAATTAGCTCGGTATCAAGGAATAAGGAAATGACTAATACTAAATATAAAAGATTTAGAGAATGTCTATGTTAAATTCTTTAAAATGGAAAATAATCATATTTTAGTGAAAGGTGACTGTATCAATGAAGATGCAAATGTTAACCTCAAAGTTTATTAATGGAAAGTAAAGGAATAATTTTGAGGCAAGTATAATTGATTAAATAATTAAGTATATTGTAGTTTAATCTAAAAGAAGAAGCGAATTCATAACTTTATATAAGTTTAATTTTCTAGCATTGTAAATATACCAAACTATATACCACTTTAAGGATCAAACTTGGCAAGTTTTGGAAAGTCCAAGGCGACATGAAGTTAATAAATTTACATTGGCATTCGCATTGGAATCCAAGAATCAATTCAACTTTATGGTAAGACAGTTTATTAGAAAGATAATACTTGTGCTGAGATAATTAATGGAATAGTATAATGAGCAATGAAAATGTGCAGATTGCTTTTATTTATTTTGAGAAGACATATGATTTAGAACTTGATGATTGATTTAAGTGAGAAAAATAAAAAAAATTGACAAAATAATTGCATTTCTTTTTTTTTTTTAACAATTTATGCATAATTTTGTATGTTATGTGCATGTTAGCCTTTGAGAATTAAATTATGTGAAATTGATGAAGTTCACTGTAGTTCTGCAGCGCCATAAAAGCAAAGCTGCGGCACGACAATCCCAATAGAACAATTATTGAAGGTCAAATTTTAAATTCTTGAAGAGATGAGTTGTTGTGAGTGCAAAAATTATAAAAAATGAGTGCTGGACGAGTCAAAGAGACTTTTAGGGAGTGCATTTGAGAGCCGAAAGAGTGGCTAGAGTGAGTAAGTTTGTCCCTTGTAAAAAGTGTGAGTGTAGTATTTACATGATTTGGTGGAGCAATGGGAAATATTCAATGGAAGGGCTTGGAGATTATAGTAATCATCAGGTTCTATATTCTTAATTTCTTTCATTTCTTGTTTCAATCATTGCAAACACACTTTATCATTGTCAAATGGATTTGCTCGTGCTTATTTCTTGTTATACCATGCTTGACTAAGCTCTCTCACTCATATGGATTTCTAGGTTTTAAAATAAATGATTTTGAACTAAGTTCAAAGATTTTTAACTCTCAAAAGACTTTTTTGAAACACCTTATTCACTTAGCAATTAGTAGTTACCATACTATTGTTTAAAACATAATCTGAGTTTGAGATATTGACAGAGTCCTAGCTCATGGAGATTCACAAAGTATAACAACAAAAATAATAACAATAACAAGCCTTTATCCCACTAATTGGGGTTGGCTACATGAATCCATTTTCTCCATTGTGTCTATTGAGTGCCACCTTTTCATTTAATTCAAATAAATTAAGATCATTTTTATACAATATGCGTATGTTTTTTTAGACACACCTCTGCCTTTCTTAACTTAAATTGAATTTAAAACATCTACTCTCCTAACCAGATCATCATATGGTCAGTGTTTAATTTGACCAAACCATCTAAAAAAGGCTCTCTCTAATCTTAGCTACCACTGAAGCTGCACCAACCCTTTCACGGGTACATTCGTTTGGCCATTTCGTCTTTAAGGGCCTGTCTGGTAACGGATTTAGAGCAGAATTTAAGCTGGATTTTAACTTCAATCTTGCCATACGGTCCTTTTTGGACAAAATAAAGCCTCAGATTTGATAAATCTGGATGTCACGGATTTCAGCCTTAAATCCCGTGAATCGGTGGATTTAGTAAATCCGGGACGGACACTTCTTGCAAAAAAAAAAGTCATGAAGCTACCTTCCTCAATGGTTTCGGGTAGGAGAGGAGCAGAAGGAGGAAACAAAATGGGAGTTTTGAATCTCTGTAAGCTGCGATCCCGACGTTGCTTTACCAGCTAGCTTTAATTGCAACCTTTCTCTTTTAGTTTTTAGTGATAAATGTATTATTCGTTTGCATGCTTTACCAAGGCTTTGTTATTTTTATTCTCTGATTTGAAGTTAATTTTTCATCTCTATCAGTGAAAAGATGTATTATCGTCTTTGTCTGTTCAATAATTTACTGTAATTTCGTTTTTTGTTTGAATCTGAAACATGAATACGATTGGTGGCTATGCTGCTGTGGTGTGTCTTCAGTTTATTTAGGTAAGTGGCAAAACACTAATTTTGATTCGTACTTTGGTGCAGATTCTGACGAATTAAACCATTCTTCGGATTTTCTGCAGGCAGCTATGAGTCTGAGGAGAAGGCAGCTAGGGCACATGATCTTGCTGTTCTGAAATATTGGGGTTTAAGCCAAACCACGAAGCTAAATTTTCCTGTATAGTCATTTAATTGATCTCATTTTTGAACAGTTTCATTTTGAATTTATTATATGATAATTTTATGGATTTCTGTAGGTCTCTGATTATGAGGACGAACTTGAGATTATGAAAACAATGACTCAGGATGAGTATGTCGCTCATGTAAAAAGGTATATCAGGCTTTGACATTTGAATACATTGTTCATTTGTCCTGTTTAGCTGAAGAATCGATAAAATTAATTTTGTGGTGGTGATGCTTTTAAAGGAAAAATAGTTGTTTCTCGAGAGGTGCTTCTGCTTTCAGGGGGGTGACACGGTTGTTACTTTCCTCCTTTCATCTTTTATATATTAATCAATTTATTCCTGATTTGTCTCAAATTGATTAACATTCCATCTGTGTTTTGCGTAACTGGAATTCTTTTTGGTTTTATTTGATGTATAAGACGGAAAGATGGGAAGTGGCAGGCGCGAATTGGTAGGGTGGGTGAGAGCAGAGATGTCAAGGACATATATCTAGGAACTTTTGGTGAAATTTTATATGCTTATATTATTTCACTTTTATTTTTATAATAGAGAAATCATTATTTTGGTTTGAATTATTATTTTTTGGGTTCATTCAGGCACAGAGGAAGAAGCTGCTGAGGCCTATGATATTGCAGCAATTGAGCTGCGAGGTGTGCATGCTGTTACCAATTTTGATATTAGCAACTACTGTGAGGGATCTTTTAAGAGAATGGAGGGACCGCCTTGCAAGCTACAGACATAGTTCCTTCCATCGGAGTCTGTGGGATTGACGACAACAAAATGATGTATTGTTTATTTTAGTAAGTTCCGATTTCATTCTGGTGTATTTTTTTGAAATGATCTAAACCACTGAACACTTCAAAGACAGGACATATCAGTCAATCCAGTGGCCGTTGTTCTCATTTGTGACATCTTTCCTGGTATTTAAGAATTTCTAGGAGCCATTTTAGTTGAGGGAAGATGTTTGTAAACTACTGAATGTCTTCGTGTCATTTCTCGAGCAATGTGAAGCTACAGTTCATACATGTTTATTTTTTAAAATTTATGCATCTCAGGTAAAAGTTTAAGGAGCTCTTTTTGACAAAGGTTTGTGTAGTATTTTTGTAAACACAAATTATCTAATTAATGGTATGGTTTTAATATGTGAGATATTTAAATAAGATGAAATAGAAAAAATATTTAGAAGTGAAGATAATTGTAATTAATGGAATAAATACTGAGCATATGATTTATAATTTTATTGGGGGTGGTATTGGTAGTATCAATCAATAATATTAGTAAAGTGATACTTAGGAATTGATAGTTTCAATCAATAATATTAGAAAGTGATATTTAGGTATAATAAGCATTGTTTGTTGGGTGAGATGTGAAAAAAATGCAAAAATTCATTTAAGAGATTCAGAACAAAATTTTGAATAGAACTGCACAATAAGAAAATCACATAAAACACAAGATTTAAAGTGGAAAAATTCGAGAACAGGAAAAAATCACGGAGTTACACTACACCAAGAATTCACTCTGAAGAAAATGAAAAGAATTGTACAAATTACACCTCAATCAAGTCTTTCTAAATTTGGAGCACTTTAGGGCACTCATTTCCTCATCTCTGCACAAGAGAAATCAAAATCGCATATCTTTTAATCTCCAAAACAAAAATTTAATCGGAGAACAACTGAAATTCAGTTACTGGTGTCGGAGCGCTGCAATAAAGCGTTGTAGAGCTTCAATGTGCACTGCAGTGTCGTGTTTTCGGATAGGGGTGTAGGTGAGTCAAACCAACTCGTGAGTTGGCTCGAGCTCGACTCCATAAGTGTCTCGTGAACTGAGATCGATGTGCTAATAAGATAAGCTCAAGTTAGCCCCAACTTGACTCATTAGCTTGTGAGCCAGCTCGTTTAAAAATAATTAATATAAAATGAACTTAAAAGTATTGTAAAATTTAGTATTTTATCTTTAAAGTTTTGAAATGTTTGAAAAAATTATGCTTTACATTTTACATCAAGTGATTTCTTATTATTTTTCTCTTAATTGATTGTTCAATTTATCATTTTATTATAACACTTGTTTGAATTAATATTGTTTTCTCTTTTTGATTATAAACAAGTTGGCTCTTGAGCCGGATCGAATTTGAAGTATTAAGCTCGAACTCGAACTCAATTAATTAATTAAGCTCAAGCTCAAGCTAAGGGTGACTCAAACTCAACTTATTTACACCTTTGCTTTTGGGTTTTGAATTTGGACTAGGCATTGCAACATTCTCCTTTGGGCGCTTCACTGTCATACTCTCAGATTCTGAAACATGAACTGGGCTTTGCAGTGCCGTCTTTCGTTCTCTCGGGCACTAATTATAAATTTTTTTTTTCGGGGATAGCGCCCCATAACCAAATACAAGACAAACTTGATTGGCCAAATTGGGGGCTCTGAGCGAACAATTGAACAACACAATATCAAGCTCCACCTAATAACTTCGTTGATGCATTTTATAGAAGAATTAGGATACAATTATTTAGAGTTGAAGTTGTGGTTAAACTTGGGAAGGGTTTTAAAAGTTATGCGATAAGAGAGTATTATGAAGGCTTATAGTTTGCTTTATAAAACTATAACTAGGCCATAGGTTTTGCATGAATTTATATGTTAGTTGATAAAAAATCATTATTAATTGATAGTGTTTAGATGGCGTGTTAAATTGTGACTAATAAATGAACGATTATACTTGAAGGAATAATTGGAGGTAATGATGAGATAGTTGCTGATATTGAAGTTTGTAGTGAAATGATCTATGAGATATATTTCAAGAGATGATTAGAGAGTGCGACTAATTCAGAATGATGTGAAATGTGGAAGAAATTATACAAAGGAATAGGTTCATGTTCCATTTAGAGAGTTTCTCTTGACAGCTATTTGTATTTTCTTTGCATTGGATTACAAAAGTTGAGATGATGGGAAGGATAATTCAATAGGAAGAAATCCAAAGTCTTGTAGGAGAAAGAGTCAGATTCTTTTCTTAGCATTCTTACATGATATTTATAAGCTCGTGACCTTAATCTTCTTGTATATGGTACTCATTTGAAGCATTGTCATGTCTTCTTTACAAATGTCATATATTTAAAGCAGTGATCTCACTCTTTTGTGTAGATGCCTGTTTTTAGATTCTTTTAATGAATGATTGTCTCATTTGTCACCTTTATGACATACATTGTTGATGTTGGGACATCTTTGTCACTATCGAGGTTGACCACCCAAATGCTTGTATGGGGAATCCCATTTCGAGTGTTATGGTATCCTTGAATCATCGTGAGGGAGCACTACACGTGTTTTCTTAATCATTGTCTTTTTGGGGCTTTAGTTTGTGGTATTCATTTGAGTTGGGCTGAGCATTTTGAGCTACATAAATGTTTAACATTGTGTTACACCAACGCTTAAGGGAAATTTAGTCTTTTATGCGCCTTAGGGTAATTTAGTTTTTTATTTATTATTATTGTTTAATATAAATAGGGCAAATATGTTTAGAGTTCAGGGTTATGCATGAGATTGTGATATTGAGTTTTAGGTTTGGGGTTTGGGAGCGATAGTCTGCCTCTCAAATTATAGGGGTTGGGAGAAATCGTCTACCTCTCGAAGTGGAGACCTCTCGAAGTGGAGGTGACTATATTTACGGATTGTGTTGTTTTATTTTGATGAAAGAAAAATATTTTGTTTTCTCTAATTTTTGTGGAAAAAGTGGCTCTGATTCATATCAAATTGGTGTCAGAGCAATCGATTGTTGGGAAACAATGAGTTTGAGGCGTCCAGATAACCCACGATTCCAACTTTATCATGATAAGGGCCACCTGGGAAGCCGAAGATGGGATCGATCATGATACAATCGCGATAAGAGTTAGTTGGGAAGTTGGAAGCTGAAGACAGGATCGATCGTGATATAATCACTGTACTTTGGCTGGAAACCTCTTGACGTAGCGATTCTTTGTCGTTGCCTTCTCCGCTAGCTCACGACTATATCTCGATCGATTCACAAGCATGAGGCTAACTAGATTTTACTATCGTATGTTTGTCCGAATATTCATCTAATGTCTTTCTTTTTTAAAAGCCCCTAGATAATCTACTTCGAAAGAATTATGGGTCTGTTTGAGGGTTTTCCTCACATATCTACTTTTTTCTCTCCCCACTTATGAATAGATTTCTTCTAGTTGAGCAACTTTGTGGTTTATCTTTTTGGATCCTCTTAGTTTGGTGTACCCTTGTCGGCCCTTCTTACTTGACTTTGTCTCATTTCACTTTTTAGTTTTTATTCATTAAATTGTACAAATGAGACTGAAAAGTCTTACCTTGCCACATGTACAAATTTTACTATTCTCAATTGTTGAAAAATGAAATAAGGCTATTTGGGTTTGTAAAATAGGGGTTAATTTTTTTTATTCAAGTTATTTTGTTTAATGTCATTATATCTATATCAGCATATGTTTAATATTAATTATTGAAACTTATAGTAGTTTTTATCATAATTTATTTTCATCATTGAGAATATTCTCCTTATTTTTCCTTACTTTGCCACGTGTACAACACTTGGCTCATCATCAATATGTAGGCTAATCTAGATTTCTTAGAGAACACTAGTTCTGAGATTGCTTTACTAAATTCAATAATTTTGGTAATATTTTAAATAGCACTTGGCTTAGATGTTTTGTTTCTCCTTGCACCATTTACCCTTGATGCTTCTTACTATTAAGGTTAAGAGTTACCATATTTATTATGTTTTAAGAGTCTAACATATTAATATTATCATATATGTGTATTTGTTCTTAGACTCTATAGTATTTATCGTTGGAATATATCATCATTATTAAGGATATTATTTTTTTGTATTTTTCTTTTTTTCTCATCTCTTGCCTTTATATAACGAGTTTGTACCAACACCTTAATTCAATCAAATAAATATATAATATTTCTAACACTTATTAAACGAGTTAATAAAATTAGTGCCCACATATTAGGAAAGAAAAAAAGAAGACCTAACATGTCATTGTTATAAGTTCTTTCAAATATTTGGTTAACAATGTATTTAACATGTTTAACTAACATCTCAAACAATAGTCAACAAGAAGGAATGAAAAACTGAAGATTCAGCTGACATCAAATAATTAAGGATAATGCTTAATCCCTAATAATGATGACGACAAATTTGCATCATAAATTTGTCATTCCTCCTACTTGAAAATGTAGGGTGTGGACTACATATAATTTTGGGAGTTTAGTAGCGATATTTTACTAATTTGACGGTCAAACAAAATTTGGTCAGAAATAGGATAAATAGCATTTGGCAAGTCCAGAAAATTGAGTTTTACATCACAAAATGCGGCAGATGAGCGTATATAAATGCCTCTTCATCTTCTGCAGTTAATTGTTGCTGCAAGCCTGCAAATTGTCTGTTGTTTGATCTTTCCTTTTAGCAGTATCATAAAGAAATGTATACATCTTACCAATGCATTTGGGTAAGAATTTTTATTAGGTTTTACTAAGAGAGACAAATGAAACACTTTTATTCTTTTATTTTCAAGTGGAAGAAGAGAGCATCTTGGGCATTTATTTTCATCAATTTGTATGCTACAACACAACCAGGGCGACGGCGTTTTGGCAAAATACAAAACTAGCCAACATCAGCTGGCTTCTTATCTCTGTAGCAAAAATCGTGCATTAATATTTGTAAAATTTACGTACGTATGACTTAAATCCTATGTATTTTTGCATATTTACCATCATTCCTATGCATGAAAAGTGCGCATCACTTTTTAGAAATTAAAATTGTGGTATTTTTGATAAGATATGAAAGATTCAGCTGTTATAAAAGCAAAATATTGAGTTTAGGTGTTACCTATGTAAATGCATAGGAATTGGGTGGTATGTATGTAAATGCCTTAAAATTTCAAGCGATCAAACAAAGCTAGAGCAAGCCAGCTTCTCATGAGAAGGTGGAGAATTAATTTTGGAGACGAATTTCCTTTTTTTTTTTTGTTAACCTTAAGCTTTATTTCAAATTAGTTTGAATCCAGTATAGGGATGATTACATTAATGCGAACTGCAATAACTCAGCATGTTACTGATTGTCCGTTTGTTCCATGTTTTTATTCAAAGCTGCAAGCCTGCATGTGTGTGAAGCTTTTGAACTTCAGTGAGACTGATCTTTGTCCTCCGAGGGATGATGACTTCTTCTTCAGAACTTGGATTCTCCATCAGATCCTTCAAAAAAAAGGTAGGGATGGTTGCTTCTTTATTTTGACGTCCTATCTGCCTGTAAGGTCATGCTAGGCTTTTTGAGAATGAATTCTTGATCAAGAACAGAGAGAGGAGCTAGACAAAAGTTAGTGCCTATACTTGTCACCACGTGTAAAACCTAAACTTGAATTTTATATGTATGCCATTTATCTAAACATGAAAATGTGTATTTCACCTTTTTTTTTTTATTAAAATAATGATATTTTTGATATGATATAAAAGATTTGGATATATAAATGTAAAAAAAAATAAAGTTTAGATTGTAGATTTGTAAAAATCCATAGGAATTGGGCAGTACGTATGTTCAGAAAAAAAGAGAAGGGGGGGGGGGGGGGATCTAGAGAGTGAAGGAAGTGCTAGAGAGAGTTCCTAGAGATAGAAAGGTTCCAATATTGTAACATTTAATGTTGAATTTTATTTTTTAATTGTACTTTAAAATTATTGCAAATGTCTTAAATTTTTTTCATATTTTAAATTGAAATTTGAAAAATTATATCACGGTTGTACTTTTATACTATAATTATGTCATATAATATATAATTTTTCATTTTATGTTTAAAATTATAATAAATATATTCATCATTTTTCGATTGAAATAAAGTATTCCATTACTTGAATGGAAGGATCAATATCATAAATCGTAAAAAAAGAATCTCAATTGTATTTATGTTTGCAGCCCCTGACACAATCAAAAGTAGAAAGAAAAAAATGAGTTTTTTATTAGGGAAGTACGAAATTAAATAGGACCCGAGCTGAATATTTTGAAGTCCTTACCGGCTAACTTTTGAACTGAGAGAAATGAAATGCGGAACTGAGCTGAAAATCTCAATATAGAAATGATGCGTTCTTACTATGGGGCTAATAGTTGCATCCAAAAAATGGATGTACTAGTGGCATTAAAGGCCTATTGTCTGATATTGTTTGTACTCAACTACATACGCAGAGCTATTAAATTAAGGACAGCGTGATCCGCCAGCATGAGAAATTGAATTCAGCATAAGGATCAAGTGGAAATAATTCAATAATTGGAATAGATGGTTAGGAAATAACTGCAGGTGCTTAACAACAAGACATCTCATATCTTTCTTCTGTTGAGTAATGTTTGAGTCCGTTGGAATTATAAATTTTTTTAACCAAGTAATTCTTTTGTAGCACAAATAAAATAAGAACATCACCTCAAAAATGAAGGAATAAAAAGCATGCGCTACTGATTCCACTTAAACTTTCTTGAGCATAAATAAGAGTGAAGCTCTCGAAGTAGTTAACAAATTCAAACTAATTGTCGGTTGGGAAAAAAATGGGAATGGGATTTTTGTTTGCCGGCAAAATAGATGGCCTTAGAGCAAAATAGATGACCTCTATATGCTTTTAAAAAATTATGTTCATCCGCATGAATCTTGACAGATATTTGGATTAGAAGTTTTAAAAATCAAAGGTGAAAAAGCCCTCGCTCCAATTTATGATAAATGAAGTGTGTCAGTGAGGCAAATTAAATTGCATAACAAATGATTTGAAATGTCCAAGTTAGTCTAGATAATGCACCTAAAATATAAAGAGGAGATTCACAATATATTTTGGGGATGAAATGATCTTCAAATATGACATGCTTATAATAAAATCGAGCGTATAGACAAGACTAAACTAATGACTTAAGATTGCTTAGTTTTGACCTCACAAAGGAATTCAATTACTCATAAAACTACATCCGATTAATAAAATCACTCTAGAAAATCTGATGGAGTGATCCAAATTCATGTAGTATTTATGAAGGTTGTCACTTACAAAATTTATAAATAGACCCCACTCTTTTCAAGGGACTTGACCAAGATGAGAAGAATGGAGTTCCAAGCTCTTGAGAATTCTTGAGCTCCACCACCACTATATCACAATTGCGAGCTACTGTGTCATCACCAATGTCGACCCATTGTTGCCATGTCATTTGATAATTGTAATTGCCATCAAGTTACCATCATCAAACCATCACTGTCGTGCTAGACCACTATAGTTGGGTCGTAGTGGCAATAAACTACTATCACCTCACCAATGTAGTGCCATCACTGCCATGCTAGATCGTTAACATTGACCTAATATTGTCATTCTAGAATGCAGTCATCGGACTGTTGCCACCAACATTACGCCGTTATCATCGAACAACCGATGCTATGTAGGATCACCATTATTGAGATATCATCCCTACTGGACCAACAACTTTGAATCGATGTTGTGCCGCATTCATTTTAATCAGGCCAGCATTGTTGAGACACTGCCATTGGGTCGAACCATCGTTGGGTTGTTGTTGCCACTAAACCACCAGCATCAGATGGACACTGAGCCACCGCCGCTGTTGTCACCTTCAAATCACCATCGCTAGACCAACACTGACGTGCAAAATCATTTTTTTCAGGCAGTCACTGACATAAGACCATCATCATCTAATTGACGCCAATCAACTGCTCAAACCACTGTCGCTAGGCCACTGTTGTTGCCATCAGGCCGACTTCATCCAAATTATACCATCATTATCAGGTCAACATATCTCTCAGTCACCACTATGTTAAATCATCGATGCCTAACAACTGCCTATGTTGTCTTACACCATCATCATTATCGGCCCAGTCATCGCTATGCGGGATCACTTTTTGCTCGATTGCCACCTTTATTATGATGCATCATCATTGCTATTGAATCATTATTTTTTTATTGCCACTGCAATCATGCTAGACCGCCTTCATTTGGCCGTTGCCATCACCATACCATCTTTTCTTGGGCAACACCGCTGCTATTAGTGGATCATTACTGCTCTACCATCATCATCATCACCATACACCAACTTTGTCAAACCACTATCATTTGGTCAATGATGCTACTATCATCACCATCGCCCAATTGCCACTGCCATTAAGCCACTATCGCTCAATTGATGCCACTTGAGCCCCACCATAGTCATCGAACTGTAGCAGTCTATTAAAAGTTATCAATGCTTACACTACAGTTTTTTTTTGCATATAATTTTCTAACCGTTGTCGGCACTAAATCATCATCACTTGGCCAAAATTGTTAGAGCATAACAATTGTCACTAGACCACTATTGCCCAATCAATGTCGTAACTGCCATTGCCATTATCAGACCATTACAGCCCTCATCGGGTCACTATCTATTGACCCCACTATCACTATACCATTGTCAGCCATCAACCAGTAAAGCACATTCACATGATTGAATTGTTGTTTCCACTTTTTATTGGTTGCTATCACAGCTGCCGCTAGACTATTGCCCAACTGATGTCTTTGTCACGGTTATACCTGCATTGTTAGATCAACATCACCAAATCACTGTTGCTTGACTATCACTACTACTATTGCTGGATCATAATTTCCTAGCAACACCATCATTGATGACAATGAATAAAAATATCTGTCACACACTCCTACCGTCGACCTTCTATCATCGCAGTTAGCCCGTCGACCTTCTATCATCGCAGTTAACTTGCTATCACTTCCCAATGTTTTCCCTAAGTCTTGTAATATAATTTTCTGCAGTTCAAGGGTAGGCAAAACCTTGTAACATATATTTGAATAGTGGAGCAATTTTAACTGCTCTGGGCCTTGTGGCTTTTTCTATTTCTTGTTTTCCACCTGAAAACCCCTTGTGTCCATTCTATCAGGTCTTCTTTTATCTATGTGTGAGCTGAATTTTCATATAAGATTAAAACATTAACATATCTTATCACCCTGAATTCCTTAGCACACAACGAATGTATCATATGAATAAATTGTTGATAGCTAAATTTGAATTAGTTCATCTAATGGCAGTGCATTTTAGAAGGCATAGAAAAGTGTGGGGGAGATGCAAGAGTGGAGAGAGCAAATATGAAAATAAATTTTAGATAGTGTCATATTTGTAATTGCATTTCTTTGGTTCTAATTTGTTGTTTTATGCGTTGGATTGTCTGCTCTTGGAAGGCTATAAATAGGCTGTTTGTTTTTGAACCATATAGATGATAATCAAATTTCTTTGTCACAAAAGACTTTTTCCTTTGTTTCCTATTTTCTATTATTGTTTGTTCAAAACTTTTGTATATGTTGTACCTTTTCATTGCTAGGTCCATCCGGCGAGGTGGTCTGCCGGTCTTTGCTACCTTCAACTCTCATTTAGATCCGCGTGGACATTTTTCAGACATACAACTTAATCTATATTGTGAAGAAAAGACAATATTTGAGAAAAAGAGTTACTAAACTTAAAGATGTAATTACTCTCGATTAGCATTATGAAGAATTATAAAAACTGAAGAAGAAAAATATATTCAACTCTCGCTTGAAGAATTGTAATTATACGATCTAATACACTATTAAAAGAAATGATTAGACGGTGTCATCTAATAACACCACTACATATAATAATTAGAAAAATTAAATGACGCAACATGTGATAAAGTTTATATAGAGCACATTTTGAAAATAAAATATTTCGACATTAAAAAATAAGAGGAGATGATGTCATAAAAAAATTATTTGTTCAAGTAGAAATTTCAATGCAACATTTAAAATAAAATTCTAAGTTAAATTAGGACCATCAAGTTTTAATTTCAACAAATTTATAATCAAAATAAACATTTTGATGAAACGAGTAAATTTAAACGAACTGAAATCATACACTCGAAGTCTAACTAGAATATTATGATATTAATTTATGAACTGAATGATATCCAAATCTTGTTGCTTAGAGTTAAATTAAGAAGCTCAATTAGCGAAACGAAAGAAGGTCCAACAATAAGCCAACAAACAGTTCAATCGCCATAAAGGAAAAACCTGAATTATAGGACTGTTATTTCCAATTGGAGCCAAAAGCATGGCTTCGGAAACAGCTCCTAAGCTCTCACTTCTTTGCTGAATTTAAATTGTTAATTCCAAAAGTACTCGTGAACCACACCCAAGTAATATAGCTTAAATAAAAAAGAGAGATTTTTTAGAATATAGTATTTTTATATTAGATTTTCCTTCCATTACAAGTAATGCACCACTATTTATAGAAGAGGGTTTATTGTAAAACAACAATCATACCTTTAGTCCTATGCAGTCGGCTTACGATAACGGATTGGAG